CCTTGCGGTTGAGTGTGGCCATAAATCCTCGCTACTCCAGGTGTCGCGGGCTCAGAGGGTAGTCGTTCCTGACAGGATGGTGCGTTGTTGCTCGATGACCGGCAAAGGTGTTGTTCCTCCACTTCCTTCCACATCTCGCTTGAGTTCCGTAGGTCTTCGTCGTTCTTGCAGGCTGGACTGAGTTTCTGGAAGGCTGCTGCCACTTGAGGTCGGGGGCACCTCCTCGTCGTCGACAGTTTGGCACTGACGGCGGCGAAGAGAGAATCTCTGATTTCGCTGGTTAATCGTCGCGTCACCGTCTGTGTCTTACCTGGTAGGACAATACATCTAGCATGGGTTGCCCAATGTTTTGGCGTTCGCGGACTGATTCCTTCTGGGCCAAACCTTTCGCGAGAACTGCCGTGCCCTCTTTGATGGGGATGTTGTAGATCGCATCCTTGTCCTTGGTAGACGGGTCTTTCCGGCGAGCATGGTGGTGGGCCGGCTGGATTGCGTACACTCGACTATTGGCGGGCTCAGGGACTTCCCATCGCCGGATCTCGTCGGGGGCCGGGGCGTTGTCAGCTGTATGGGCGAGTTCGCACTCACCCACTCCCAGGGTTCGGCAGCCGTGCTGCGGGCACAGGCAAGAATCCTATCGCTTGCGAATGGCTGCATCTTGCGCTGTTCGTGACCACTCCGTATGCTCCATTGACCCCGTTCACATACCCGTACAAAAGCGGCTGGTTGGACTGGATGTACTCCAGGGGAGAAGCTGGGTGTCGCGGAGCCGTACCGTCGCCTGTCCCCGGGTGCCTATCTCGGAGTCCTTCTGGCGAGCCTTGGCGGCCAGGGCTTGTTCAACGCGTCGCTGAACCTCTGCTTCCTGCTTGTTTTTGGCGGCCTCAGCGGCCTTCGCCGTTGTGCTCCGGCTGCCCCGTGTTCACGTAGGAGCTTCTGACGGCCATCTCAGTGGCTCGTTCTTGCTCATAGTTTGCTGCCGCGAGCCGCTTTTCTCTTGGGCGACTTCCTCCTTAGCTCGTTCTGGGCGGCCAGCTCCGAGATCTTTCGGGCTCTCTCTGCCTCTTCAGCGAGCCTTCGGGTGTTTTCTTGCGGCAGCGATCTTCTGATGACCGGGATGGGGGTGCTGAAAGATCCGCCGGTATCGCTCGAGAAGGTCCCGGCGAGGGCGGGGGCTTCTTCGCCTTCGAAGGAGATCGACCCCCACGTCCCTTGGTGCTTCCACTCGAAAAGCTCGTTTGGCGTCAGGCGATCCCATTTTCACGGTTTCCACCGTGATCCCGGGAGAGCGTTCGCGGGTCCTTCATGGAGCGCGGCTTCGTCTCAGCTCGCTCTTTGGCTTGAAGAGCGGCCGTTTCGTGGGGGACAAGGCGGTACTAGCGATTCCGTCAAAGTATTTGTCATTGCGTCTAAGCACCCCTTCAAGGAGTACCCCACCTGGTTGGACCGAGTAGCTCCTCGGTGACCGGCTCGGTTACACTCGTACCACGGTCACTGAAACAAACATAGACGGTACCTTTCATGACGAATCGGGCTCGACAAAACATCTCCTTGCCACCACTCGGCCGGTGTGTGGCAAAACGCCGCATCTCCGACACGGACCCTAAGGAAGTCACACTGTGTGACCCGCCGCTGGCGTCATAAACTCTAAGTCCATGCTTACTTTTCTTCAGAGTAAGGTTTGGCGAGGAGGCGGTCACTGTCGGGCAGCAGAATACTTTTTCAGTGTTGCGGACGCTCACACTAATACCCCCAGTCAAAAAGGAAAATGGTGTCGGGCGGCTGCAACTCTGGTTCAGAAAAAGTGAACCTGATTTGTAGCCGCCCGATTAGTAGTCCTTCTAGCTAGTCATCAACACACATAGGCACACCACCTGGTGCACCCGACACTTCGGTCCACCACCTCATCCTTGGATGAGTGGCTCTCCCGGATTCCTGTCCGTCAGTCTCCTTATGGTCGGCTCCCTGTTAACTCATACTCTCCGTTCTGTAGAATCTCTTCATTCCCTGTCTGGGAAGGTGGGCGTTAGTATATGGTCATATCGGCGGATTCTTTTTCAAACGAGGTTGACATACTTTTCAAACACAGTACATCCAATTTTCGAGCCTCGGTCCCGCAACTCTCTCGATGCTATCGGTCCTGGTCCCATAGTCTACCTTAGCTAGCTTTAGGCGTCGGACGGGTTGGGGTGTGGTTGCTTTCTATAGCTTTATATTTATAGTATACCTAACAGCACCAGAACCATCGACTTGGGAGGTTGCGGTTGCAGTGACATGCCGATAGCTGGCCAGATACGGTAGGTACCGGCAGCTGCTATTTGGGCTAGGGCACCAGATGCACTCATCCAGCTCTCTCTAGCTAGCTAGGGTCCAGAGAAACTGCGCTTCCACTTCTTTGAGGCGAGCTTTTGGAGTATCGTATCGTCGTTTCTGACAGCAGGGTGACAGAGTAAACCAAAGTCCCTACTAGCTAGCAACGTAGCCAGCTATCAACGCAACGTCCTGCAGTACTCTCCGTAAGCTAAATGTATGTAAAACGGAACCTCGAAGGGAAAGTTCAACCGTTTGGAACCAGCTACCGGTTGGAGAGCCACGATGTGTCGGACGCAATGAAATACAATGAAATACTGCTTAGTCTATATAATAAGGAGGTATTATGGTTTGATAACGTTGAAGCTAGAATTGATTTGTGTACTCGTGCAGCGTCGAAGAAACTATTGAGAGACCCCCAAAAAAGTGTTCGAGCGACCATAGAAAGCAATGCGACCAGCCATGCATATTGGATTAACGAACCGGAGCAGTATACAGCTCTCGAATCACCTCCTCAATCTTTTGGGGGCTGTACTTGGTGTAGTTCTCCTGCTTCTTCTTGGAGAAGCGGTACTTTTTGTACTTGTGGTAGAAGCGTTCGTACCGAGGAATAAACACTTGCTTGACCTCTTGTTGCATTTGAGCCCGCAGACGAGGATCAATGACGCAAAGCTTCTGATGCAAAGCCGATGTACGCTCAAAGTCATCATTGAAACCACTGAAACGGTTCTTGAGAAGACGACCAGACTCGACCGTCAAGAGCGTCTCACTCTTTTGGAATTCGAGCTCATCCTTTCCGATAGCGGTGAGATGCGTATTGAGGATTTCCCAATGTCCAAGGTACTTTGTTTTCTCCGACTCGAGAATTTTGTTGACCTTGTCAATGAACCACGATCCGTCAATGCGGTAGTGTTCGCTGTCAATGGGACCATTGTACCCCATGGATGAGTCCTGTCCGAGTTCTTCGAGGAGGAAGAAGCAATTGTTGATTAAGAAAAGATTGGATTTGGCCTGACTATCATCACGACCATCGCGGACGTAGTTGAGCGCCTTTCCTTTGAGGGAGTTCAATAGACGCATGACCAGGAATCGGACAAACGAGTCGAGTTCTCCAGCTTCCTCGCCTGATCAAACACAAAAAGACACATGCGAAAAAGTTAGCGAGCGGTCAGTGAGTCCATCCGTGAAAAACAGATTCATAATGCATCCAAGCAATCTATCTTGCTCGTTCACTATACTTACCCATATTGGGATCCCACGGCAAGGCACGACGTTTACTGATACTTTTGTAAGCACTGACAAAGGGTGATACCAATCGAATGGCACGAATGGTATCGGTGGTGACACTGGAAACACTGGCATCGGGCGGACGATGCAAGTGACCCTTGAGAGGATCTTCCTGAATGGCCTTGGCCAGATTCTCCAACGTTCTGGCAGCATTCTTGACTGTAGTTCGATGAATGGCAATACACAGCGTGGAAGCAATGGTAGTGTTGGCTCCGGTGGTTCCATCTCCCACGGGCATTTCACAGAGTTTGGCCAAGGACGGTCCCAGCATGCGGACTCCATCCAGAATGCGCAATCCAGCCGCGGCCGCCGACGCCGCAGCCGACACGGTGAGACCCGTAGTAGAATCTCCCTTGGATCCGGAACTCTGTCCGATCCCTCCCTCTTTGAGAAAGACAGTTTCAATGATATCTAGCACACGGTCGACGACGGAAGCCACGGCATGAGAGTAGGCAGCCACACCTGCCTTTTTCAAATAGGGTGCCAAGGCTGTCTCATCTTCCTCATCGGCATCACGAGATATAATGGGAGTGACGACAGCCCGAAAGATATTCTTTTCTCCTGCAAAGCGACAGAGAAAGAATAGAATATGAGTAGATTATTCGTTATTTATGCAAGCATCGAAGCATCATCGGCAATAACCAAATGGTAACACCTACCTGCCACAATGAGCATGGCATTTTCCAAGCACCGAACAGCGTCTCTGTTGTTGTGGTCAAGATACAATACAAATCAAAAGAGTTAGAAATACCAGCAAGCCATGAGCAATCCCAAAACCAAGTCAAACAGCACATATTATTACAAATACGCACCTCGCTGCGACATCGGCTTCATCGGCATCATCAATGACAGCTCCATCGGCCGCCGCCTGTTTTTCCAACTTTTTCTTGCGATCATTCTTGATGCGTCGATAGTAGGAATCAATGGCAGAAAATGCCACTTGCATTCTGGCTTCTCCGTAGGCATCCAACTGAGGGAATCCAGTTTTGAGTGGTTGTTTGGTCAATTTGGTGTAACACCCCGAGCCGACTTTTTCGGTGCGAATCACTCGGGCGGGTGGAACATTAAAGACAGCGGTCAGTCCAGGAGGTTCTCGATTGGACATGGGGCCCAACGAGTAGCCATGGCTGCCGAGACATTCAAAAATGGCTCTGATTTCCCGAATTTGCCGAGCTTCTACCGGTTGATTTTCTTCGTAATCTCCAATGGATTTGAGCAAATCTCGATTCTTGAGTGCGGCCGACAATCGTTCGCGAGTTTGTGCGGCCGTTTCCGTACTGGCATCAATTTTCTTGGGGCCTCTCTTACTGCGGACACCAGGACCAGCCGACATGAGATGACTCGTCACTAACAGACACATGGCTTCGACTCCCATTTTGAAACAACGTTCCAATCCATTAATGGCAATGGGTGCCGACGTCCAGTTGCGTCGTTGGACAAAGTAATCATAGGCATCTCGCAATATTTCCATACTATCACTGGCGGCATAGACATCCTGTTCACTCAATACAACGCCCCGCCGGGTCACTTTTTTACGTCCTCCCTGCAATGCTCTCTTTTCTTCCATATCTCTTACACCCTTGTGCAAATGATCAATGGCCGGTTCACAATCGGTGACAGTATCGAATTTTTCACGGGCATCCTTCATGAGGACCAAAGTGGCGGCTAAATTGTTGTTGGCTCGACTGAGCATACTACTGGCGCCACTGGCTGGACTCGTCAAGGAATCCAATTGATGCGCTCGTTTCGACAATTGATCGCAACACCGTGTGGCATCGCCCGTGGTCGACTGCATCTTGGACAATGCCTTGCTCAACGCATCAATGCGAGTCTTGGCTTCCGATGTTTTGTTGTTGCTAGGAGCGCCCATGGTGGAAAATATATAGATATACCTATAGATAGATAGATAGATAGATAGATTGATTGTATAGTGGATGAATGAATGAGGGTAGTAGTGTAGTGCCCTGAAGTAGAGCTTTCCAGCTACTTGGCTCCCAAGGACCTGATGACTGGTTCCACAAGGGGATCCTCCGTACGCTATCACACACTGTTCGCTCTTGAAGTGCTGTTCAGTTAGCAACGGATCAAAAAGGAGAGGAGGGTGTCAACAGAGCGGCTTGTCCATCATCATGGTCAACACATCCATCTCCATTTTCGTCTCTGGATTTAGTCGGATGAGTCAAATTCAGTCACTCCAACGCATGATTGGCTTGCTCTCCACGCAAGAGACGGACGTGGACAACTCCGCCGTGGCGTGGACAACGTGGATGTGGTTTTTAGAGCCGTTTCGATCGTGTCCGAACAGATCGAGCTTGTTTGGCAAATCCCCGAAAGAGCTCATAACAAAGCAGCTCAATTGTCGCCTTCACAAGAACACTGTCGTCTTTACTAGCGTATCTCCTGTCTTTGCCATCCACCATGATGTCTACGAACAATAATGGTACTGCCAGATCCAATAATAAAAAGCAGAAACTGAACCCTGCTCTTCTCTCCGTTTTGGACCACAAAGAAATCTGGATCGGCCACATCCTTCCATTTCTGGGCATGGGACAGTATGCCTACATTGGAGCTGTCAACAAGGAGTTCAATCATCTCTACAAGGAGTATTGTGATTCTGTCAAGAATCCTCCTTTGGTGATGGGCAACTATCACACTCTTGGCCGGGACAACCCAAAACCTGTTACAAGCACAGATACTCTATACTCTGTTGCATTCTACAATGTGGCATGTGCTACATACTGGAGTAGTACCAGTGCCACTTTGAGAGGCCAACCCAGTCTTGGCAATGTTTGCCAAGCAGTGGCCAAAGTTGGAAGTCTTAGAGTTCTCCAATGGGCCCGCCAGAAATCATATCCATGGGATGAAAGAACATGCAGGAGAGCTGCTGAAGGTGGTCATTTGGAACTTTTGAAATGGGCTCGTGAGAATGGATGTCCATGGGATCAAATAACATGCTCTTCAGCTGCTGGAGGTGGTCATTTGGAACTTTTGAAATGGGCTCATGAGAATGGGTGTCCATGGAATGAATGGACATGCTTGGCCGCTGCTCGACATGGACATTTGGAACTTTTGAAATGGGCTCGTGAGAACGGTGCCATGGAATGTGGACATGCTTGCCGCTGCTCGACATGGACATTTGGAACTTTTGAAATGGGCTCGTGAGAACGGTTGCCCATGGAACGCACTGACATGCTCTTCAGCTGCTGAAGGTGGTCATTTGGAACTTTTGAAATGGGCTCGTGAGAACGGTTGCCCTTGGGATAAAGAAACATGCATGGGAGCTGCTGAAGGTGGTCATTTGGAACTTTTGAAATGGGCTCATGAGAATGGATGTCCGTGGAATGAATCGACATGCTTGGCCGCTGCTCGACATGGACATTTGGAACTTTTGAAATGGGCTTGTGAGAACGGTTGCCCATGGAACACACTGACATGCTCTTCAGCTGCTCGTGGTGGGCATTTGGAACTTTTGAAATGGGCTCGTGAGAACGGTTGCCCTTGGGATAAAGAAACATGCATGGGAGCTGCTGAAGGTGGTCATTTGGAACTTTTGAAATGGGCTCATGAGAATGGATGCCCTTGGGATGAATACAGATGCTTAAGTCTTGCTCAATATCACAACCATCAAAATGTTGTGAATTGGATTGAAATGAAATTTAACGGAACAGTGTGAAAATGAATGATGATATAATGTATGTTGCTGGGTCAACCATGCTACACGATCGTTCGTGCTGTTTGCTTCAGTAGAGAGAATTAAATTTTAAAACAAGTATAGCTTTAGTCTACCTTTTCCTTCATCACGTGCATTGTCCTTTCTCGCTTGAAAACGAGACAAATCAGCCAAAATTCATAGATTTACATTAGCAACCTGTCGTTGTGATTGTGAGCCACAGTATGTCTGGTGTTATTGAGAGTTTCCTGTCATTTGCAAGAGCTTGCTTGGTCTTGTTGCCGTCATTTGTTTCGTACCTGTAAGTACGGGAAGATACTATGGGTGGCATTCCACACTACGTGGGCATGGCGCGGTCAGATCGTGGAGGGGTTTGTGATTGATTAGCTGCGAGCCGTGTCCCTCCCAGGCACTTGGATTTGATTAATCCTTCGACAGACTATATAGCTAGACTAGCTAGTACCGGTAGTAGGGGGAAAGCAATGGATCACATAACACGGCGCCCCTTGCTTCGATTCGATTCCAGCCATGCAGCATTACCCAATAGCACTACGGTATATTATAGAATGATGAGCTTTCCAGCATTGCCGATCGATGCGACAGAGTTGCATTGTTTTCCTCCCTGCGTGTATAGCTGCGGCAGGTTGGTTGAATTTCCGGGTACTAGCTACTGTAGCTAGGGCGAGACAACATTTAGTGAAATCTATCATGTAGTGAACATCTAACTATAGTTGTATTGGAATCTACAACGGCAAGGTCATCCAGAAGGTACAACTAACTAGACGAAGCACTACGCCCAGGCTGCCTCCACTCTCTGTAAAAACTTTTGTGTATTGTATGCATGTATCGTCTACTGATTGTTGTTGTTGTCGTCCTCGTCGTCGTCGTCCTCGGCGGCTTGTAGGACATTTCTCGGCGGCGCAACTTGTCCCGGTGCTGCCATGCCTTGTTCTTGCTGTTCTTGTGGCGGCGGTGGACGTCGTGGTGCCTCCGGGTGCCACATGGGAAAAATGGACATGACAAAACTCGCTAGCAAGAGTCCCACATCTTGCATGGCTCCCACGACACCTCCTTGATTGGCTTCCGGAATCATGCCTCCCAAAAAGGTATTGCGCCAACCGCCCCCCTGATTGTTATTGTTGTTATTGTGGCGTTGATTGGGTGGCAGCGGACCTCGTGGTGGATTGTTGTTGTTGTTATTGTTGGGGTGTGGATGGTTATTGTTGTTAGGTGGCTGCTGTCCTTGTTGTTGTTGCTGTTGTTGTCGCTGTGGATGTTGCAAAATCTGTTGGACGGATTCACCGTCAAAGACTCGTGCGGGATAATTTTCTTTCACAAAAAAGAGATAACAGTACTTGACATAACCGGTTTGCACCAAAAATCCCACCACCACCAACAAGACCAAAGCCGCAAATTTGACATGCCATTCCGTTTGCGAGGCAAATTTTTTACTGCCACTGCTGCTGCTGCTCATACGGGCCGATAGAATGGCCATCATAAAGAGGATTTTGAAAATGAGTCCGCCATCCAATTCTTGTACGTGACGACGACGCAATTGAACGAATAAAAAGAGAATCTTGTACGTGAACGAATTCTGAATCATTTGCCAAATCGTTTGTGGTTCTTGTGGTGGTGCTTGTGCTTGTGGAGGAGGAACGGCTGCCTGAGGAGCGGCAGCACGTGGCTGTTGCGTGTGTGGCTTTGGTGGTACCACGGTTCGTTTCTTGGTCGTCGTCGTTGCACTAGTAGCTGGAGGAGGTGGATCCGCCGAAAAGAAGCGTCGATTGCCAGGCGCCGCTGCCGTCGGAGCACTGCTATTAGTGACAACATTGCCATGCTGCGTGGTCAACCGATGAACCGTCGCGGTCAAATCGTCGACGCGTCGTTGCATGTCCACCAACAGTGCCGTTTGACGATGCAATTGCTCCAAAATTTTGTTTTCCACGGGCGACGCTCCAACAACGGCCTTGAATTCTTCTTCCATCTCCATCACACAACGACGACTGTCTTGTTTGTTTGGCACAACAACGCCTGGCTGACGATCCGACGCGGAGGGTTCCGGGGTGATCCTGTCCATCGTCGCATCCGTACTAGCAGTAGTCGTCACAGTAGTAGTAGTAGTATGGTGGTGAGGACCAATTTCTCCAGTCGCCACCAACCCTTTCATGGCTTCCAACGAGACGGGATCAATGGGAACCGATTCCAGTCCTGCTTCTGCCAACAATTGCTCCAATTGCGCCGTCACAATGGCATCCTCGTATTCCGGAGTCGTCTTTTCTTCATCATCGTTGTTGTACATTGTCGTCATACTTTAGCTATAGTCTTGTATTGTACTCTTGGTTGTTGTTGTTGTGATCGTATTGTGTGAATGGTTGTGGATCTGTTCGATGTTAATTATTGCCAGACAATCGAGCGATGGTGGCTTTGCCGCGAAATGGCTTGTTAGCTTGGTCACAAAAAACAAAAAAGAAGATCGCCTCCGAAACAGCAATAATATTATTACCAGTACCGAACGATAGCTAGTCTAGTCGGATTTCCAGTAGGGTTAGTGGTTCTTTCCCCAGCCTGCCAGTACTATAGTTTTTACCGTGGGTATCCTGGTACCGGTCGGGGATAGCTACTCATAATATTATACTAAGGGGGGATTAGAGTAGGGAAATTATCTACGGAAGCCAGCCGGGGATAGCTACTTGATGACAGGTCAAGGTACCATGGTACTGCTACCAAGCTCAAATAGAATGTTGGACTTGTGGATTGTCAAATTCAACACAAACTCATATTGGAATAGCTAGCTAGCTCGTTAGTCTACATCATTTATTTGCTCTTTCCTGAGGATCTCTTTATTAGTGGGCGTTTATACATGTATGAGCTCAGGAATGAAAGAGCTTGTTGCTTCTGTAGCTAAGATAATATGGATCCATCCGGTAGCTAGATATCTCTTCTCTGGTGATATCATGAATTCAGCAGATTGTGGGAAATCTTGATCTATAGTGAGATTTATCGATTGCCATGCATGCATGTGGCTGGCTGGCTTGACAATATGTATGCTTGGCACTGGGTGCATCTTTGGCATATATAGATATCCCTGTCACTACTACTATGCAAGTCCTCTCAGCATGCTACTATCCCACCACACATCACGGCAAGGAGGGCACAGATGGGAATGGCAATAATGGTAAGGATGGGGATCACAAAGACAATCAACAAAATAATCTTGATGTCCACTTGGTTCTGCAAAAAAATCACTGTACCAGCAATGACAATTCCCATTCCTGACAGTATCATGAACAAACCCATAGGGCCAATCCTTCTGACATAAAAGTCATGAATGCGGAATGATATTGATCTACTACTGGTACTACTGATGTCCTCTGTTGTTGGTTCCTTCTTCTTGGTGGTAGTAACATGATTCTTCTCTCCTCCAGACAACAACAACTCTGGTGTTTTCATCGTCTGGGGGTACTCCTCGGAGGAGGGGGGGGGGCTGGGGAGATGATGATGACACATGTACCTCGGGGGTGGCCACCAAAGTTGTTTCCACTCGGCGAAAAGTCTCCCCGGGAGGCTGTGGAGCCAGGTGAGACACATCCGCATCCGCGTATTCCGTCTTGTCTTCGTCAAACACGGCTCCCATCCTACAATACGGTATGACTGTATGATAGTAGTAGATGGACTTCGAATGGAAGAATGGTTGGTGATGTGCGCTACGAGAGTGGTTACTATGCGTTAGAGTAGGGGACTATGGGAGGATGGGTTAGAGAGAGGACGGGGACAGAGCTCGAGGGGAGGGTGGGTTGCAGAGGAGGAGGTTGTGGGTGACAGATCTCAGCAGTGTCACTGAGCTGTGCCTGCTCGAATCACGACTGCAAAAGGAACTGCACACGATCGCCTCACTCCAAAACAGCAATAAAAATTTTGAAGGCGTACTGGCTAGCTAGTATCTTGTCTTACCACATGCAGCTAGCTAGTTGCATACATTAATCTTGGGGGCTCCGAATCGAATCAAACTGGAAGGGAGTCTGTTGAGTACGGTACTTGTGGGGCAAACCGATCCCACATGGACGGGTGCCACCAAGGAGTGTCTTGAAACTATATCCAACTAGACTAACTAACTACATGTAGACTTTGGAAGATGGAAAGAGTCATGGATCCAACTATAGATTACTACTCCGGGGAGACTTTCGGGGATTCTTGAAATGAAATCGGCCCTGTTTCTTCTTCTTGTTTTCTGCTGCTTCTCGGGCCAACCGCACTTGTTGTTCGTCTTGTAGTAGCGATTGGGCCAGTGCCGCTTCCGATTCTCGCTTGTACACCGTGTTGCCCATCATCAGATCTGCAAACCGGTCCTTGCGGGCTAGCAACCAACTCTGTTCCGTATTCAGGCGTTCAGTGAGGTTGTCGTTCATTCGGTAACGCAAAAAGTCTGCCCATTCCTGGCCGTCAATGTCCATGACGGTCAAGTAGGTATCTTCAAAGGCAGTGTGTGCCATGGCGAGGCTCCTACCGGTATGTGTGACACAACAGGCAAATAAATGATGGAGTGTCATTCATGTCAGTGAGGGAACTGGGACACTTGTGCCAGTCAAACACCAGAATGATACACTTGCTTGGTATTTTACTTACTTGAAGTCAATTGGATCATCACCAAATGGATTATCCAGGGCAATGGCGATCACTTCCAATCTGAATCAAAAGCAAGCAAAACATTTGAGAAGTACATTCCTGATGTTAGCTTGCTGTATTTGTTGGGTAGAAGTTAGTGTATCAGTGTATCCGTGCTTACCCCATGAAACCATATGTCATCAAGAAAATTGCAAAGCAATGTGCATAGACACTGCTTTTGTCTTTCACAAAGATCAGTGGCACCGTAAAGAGGTACAGGAAGAGGAACGTACGAGCCATTTGGATCAGAGGAAAGGGCACCGGAGTGGACTTGAATTTCCTCAGCCCAGTATAGGCAGAGATACAGGCATCCACAGAGGAACACAGCTGCAGTTCTGCTTGGATTTCCAATGGTTTGGGCAAACGCGTGGCATGTTCCACAATGGATTTTCGCAACAGCAACCCAATCAGAATGGGAACTCGCAAGTTCTCCTCATACTCGCATGGTTTTAGCATGGCATAGTGTTTGTTTTGAGGGTGGAATAGCATATTGTTGAGTACATAGTCCAGCTCCACACCATTCAACTCGGGCACTTTCCAGTTGGGGGTGTGAGTGGTTTCATAGTCCAAGATCCCCACGGCAGTGCGAAGAAACAGCATTGACCTGTACGTCAACTGGACCAAATGAGAAGATATTATGATTGCAATCAGATTAGTCAATAGCCTTGAAGCAATGTTCCATCACAGCACTGGTATTTATTCCTCTCATACCTCTGCTCGATATTCCTTGGATTTCTCATCCTGATACTTTGCAGTCATAGAGCACACATATTGAACCAGTTCTCCTGTATTCAAGGTCAAATTGTCATGAGATTCATTCCATTCATTTGGCAAGAGACAAGATCATGCCTGGCTTGTCAAAACGTACGGCTTTCTTGGTACAACTTCCCCAAGTGTCCTCGAGCTTCATTGAATCGGTCAAGTGCCATGGTCACTCTTGACACAAAGAGAAATGCCACCACAAATCGAATGAAATTGTGACCCTCGCTCGTGATGTAGTACTTTGGACCATCCGCATTGACATAACTCAATAGGAGCATTATCAGGACATTAAAAACACAAAAGGGAAGCACCGCAGGCCATGCAGAACCCAACTGCTGCGTTAAAATACTCCAGTGGCTCTCTGAATTGTAGATCACAGTGTACAGAATTGGAGCCTGCGTTTTCTTCTTCTTGATCTCGCTCCAGTGAGGGCCACAACAGCTACTAAAGCAACCACCCATCCTTACTTCTATTCCTTTTTGTTAATAATAATCAGCGCGACAGTACAATGATCCGCGGGGCAACAATTCTCACCATTGTGATGGTTGGGGCTGGGACTGTCACTCTGATGCGAGAGAAGGGTAACACTTCCGTGAAAGCCTCTTGGGTTCCGGATTGTTCGACTTCTTGGACTCAAATCGTCATGCAACGCACATTGGCTCCAAAGGTTGTATCTTTCAGAGGGGAACAAAGTTATTAAAAGGTTACTGAAGCGGTACTTGATGATAACTCCTTTCAATCACACCAGATCCTTGCCAAACCTTCTCTCACATTTTGCAAAGATAGATTTCTCACCAGCTCTTTCCAATGCGGATCGATCGAGGATCGAGGGCAAAGCAGCATCTGGTGGGAGGATATTATCCCACTCTGCGAGCAATGGCAAAAGGACCAACTAGCTAGATCTCGTCGTCGGGCTTGGTCTGATGCAGTTTTGATAAAAGGATCCATCCCCCTTTTTCAGTTTCTTGATTGTTGCTCGCTTTGAATGTATAGAAAAAGACATTGACAAACGCTACCATGAGGACACGGTTGATCTTCCTTGGCCTTGCCGTACTTACTGCGGTCGAGGCTGGATCCGAATATGACTATCAGCCTCGACTGAGGTCGGTAAGTGATAATGGACGGATGGCTTCGCAAAGTCCAGGATGGATGAATGGATGAATGGGGTTACTTTCATCAATTTCTAACTTCTGCGCATGGCCTGCCTGTCGCTGCTTTGCTCTATCTTTCTATAGGGTATGATAATCAGTACCCAAGACAGACAGTTAGCCGAAACAGCGGGGAACAGTAGTGGTAGTAGTGCAACATCCGGCAATAGTACTGATACAGCAGCCAATGCAACAGAAGTTGCAGCTCAAGCAGGTACTAATGGCACCCAAGTTGCAGCTCAGGCGAGCGCCAATGGAACTGAAGTTGCAGCCGAAGCGAGTGCTAATGGCACACAGGTTGCAGCTGGAGCAGGTGCTAATGGAACAGAAGTTGCCGCTCAAGCAGGAGTCAACGGAACAGAAGTTGCAGCTCAAGCAGGAGCCAACGGCACACAAGTTGCAGCTGGAGCGGGTGCTAATGGAACAGAAGTTGCTGCTCAAGCAGGAGTCAACGGAACAGAAGTTGCAGCTCAAGCGAGTGCTAATGGCACACAAGTTGCAGCTGGAGCGGGTGCTAATGGAACAGAAGTTGCCGCTCAAGCAGGAGTCAACGGAACAGAAGTTGCAGCCGAAGCGAGTGCTAATGGCACACAGGTTGCAGCTGGAGCGGGTGCTAATGGAACAGAAGTTGCCACTCAAGCAGGAGTCAACGGAACAGAAGTTGCAGCTGAAGCGAGTGCTAATGGCACACAGGTTGCAGCTCAAGCCAATGCTAGTGGAACTATACCAGCAGTTGTAGTTGCAGCGAACACATCGGCTGTGCCTCCAGCAACAGAGGAGAAAGAGGAGGATAGTGGTGGTGGTGGTGGCATATTAGGTGCCATTGCGAGCGTGTTGGGCTTTGGAGATGATGAAACACCCGCTCCTGCCCCTGTCGAAGAAGTTCCCGAAGAGGATGATGGAGGGGGCTTGCTGGGTGCTGTGGAAGGATTGTTTGGCATGGAAGTGAACGAACCGACGCCACCGGTCACACTACCACCCGTTACCTTGCCACTCGCTGGTGCCGTCGGCGCCAGCGACAGTGGACTACCACCGGGCCTGAATGCGGACTTGCTTGCCCAGGCGGGTCAAGCAGCAAGTAATGGCACCATCTCTGATCAAGCCGTTGAAGGTTTGCAAAACTGGCTCGGATTTGATGTTGACGGCGAAATTGGGAATGGAACCAATAAAGGACATGTTGTCAACGGCGACTCGAAGAACTCTGAGACTCCCCCCAGTAATTCCAGCTCTAAGACTCCTGCTCCAGAAGAAATTGATGTCGACGCCGGCGACGACGCCGAAGAAGACGCCGAAGAAGACGTCGGCAACTTCACTGGCTGTGCTAATTGCCCAACCTTGTCGCCGCTTGACACAATTTTGGATGGATTCAAAGGTCTCTTTGGCATGCGGGACACTCAAGATCCATCTGTTGCTGATCCTGGAGATGCCGAAAAGTCCGGGAATGAAACTGAAGTGGAAGAGGCAGTTTCTGGCAATGAAACCAACACTACTGGCGGGGAAGAAGCACCCGAAACGGTTGATGCGGATGAAGATGCACAAGAAACGGAGCTGAAGGATGGAGAAGGTTCCCAACCGCCGGCTGGTGGTGGTTCGGTTCAAGAGGTTACCCTGCCTCCTGCCGCAGAGCCTCAGACAAAATCACCCACTGCTGCTCCCGTCACTCTGCCCCCCGTCACTCTGGCACCAACACCCTGTGACATTTGCAAGGAACCTCCCAAGATCAGCGACGTCCCCGACGACAAAACCATTTGCCCACATGACTACATCCTTCCCAAATCCAACGTCATTACTGCCAAGGACGCTTGTGACAATGATGTGTCCAATAGTACCAGTACGACCGTCAAGCAAGCGGAGGAATTAGTTAACAACAACACGTGTGTCGGACAGATTGTCAATATCTGGACGGTGGATATCCCTTCTTGCAACGCCAGTGCGCCAGTCACGGCGAAACAAACGCTAAAGATCGAAGACCTGGATCCTCCACAATTTTCTGATGCAGTCTTACCTGATCTTGTGTACACATGTCCCTCGGATTACAACGAGTCTCTGTTGCAGCATCCCTTTGCCACGGACAACTGTGACTCCTTGGTCAGTGTCATTCCCCAGACAGGCTACTTGGAGGGTTGTCAAGACTTGGATGGTAAGTGCACAGTGAAAGCAACGGCCAAGCTATTTGTAAAGTTCTGCGCTCAACCGTTCGGTCGCGTCGTCGTGTTTTAGTACTATGGGTTGCCACCGATGAGTGTGGCAACGAAGCCACAATGTCGCAAACCGTCAAGATTGACGATGCTATGGCGCCCATTCTCATGTCTACTGCCCCCCACGACGAAATTCTTAGCTGCGCTGATTCCATCCCACCCATGAAAATGCTTATGTTTATCGACAACTGTGCCGGTGAGTTTGAAGTCAACGGCACAGACGACAGCACGGGCGGAGGCTATTGTGACGGTGATGTCACAGTACGAACCTGGGATGGTCCCAGCGATGTCTGTGGCAACCAAGCTGACAGTGTCACACAACGTTTTACCGTCTTGGATCAGTCCGCACCGATCCTCGACTCATCAAGCATGGAGAAAGTCGCATTGAAATGTCCTAATCACTTCAACGTGAATGACTTGACAGTTCCCAATGCGACCGATGATTGTTCGGCTGCGGATGATATCACCGTCATCCCACAGGCCCCAAACGTGGTTGGATGCGAAGATCTGGTTGTGATGTGGGAGGGTATGTTCATTGAAAGGAATGCTGCTCGTTGATTTGGACCAGGGGGCGCCTTCCTCACTTACTTTCTTGATGTCCCTGCAGCCAAAGACGAATGTGGAAACACTTATGTTGCTAATCAAATTGTAAGTTGAAGTTTCCAAGTTGAATCCATCGCTGCCACACTCGCCTCACAACGTTGCATTGTTCTCCTCCTCCTGCAGATCGAATTCACCGACTCGACGTCTCCAATGCCCTTCAATGGCACCGCGCCTCCCGACGTGACGCTGCACTGCAAGGATCCATTCCCAGCAAGCGAGAATCTGGTTTTCGTTGACAATTGTGACGACGACGTAGACGTCACTTCCGTTGATGAGGACATCGGAGGGAGCTTTTGTGATGGAAAGGTAACCATTCGCAAGTGGCAAGGGCCCACCGACACTTGCGGAAACAGTGCCAGCGAAGTGACTCAAATGATCACTGTTGTTGACCAAGAAGCTCCGACTCTTCCAGAACATGTCGAGGAAGCACTCTATACGTGCCCAAGTGACTTCCAATTATCCAATCTAAAATCGCCGGATGCCAGCGATGATTGTGACCAGTCTGTGACAGTTACTTCGACGTTCACACCATCCGAAGACACGTGCGGGAACATTACTGTAAAATGGACGGCCACCGATGTGTGCAACCAGAAGAGCAGTGTCAACCAGACGGTGCGCGTTGTCGTTTGTTTGCCTTCTGTTTTAGCTCCTGGGTTTGCTTCGTCTTTCGTTTCGTTGGAGTTGCGTTCTCACTTGCTTGTATTCTCTGCCTTGAACCCTTCAGGTATTCTTCGGCGACAACGAAGGGCCTGTCCTTCAGGGCAACGCACCCGTAGATGTCACGTTGAAGTGCAAGGACGAGCACCCAGACGCCTCAACGCTGACCTTCAAAGACAACTGTGGAGAAGAATTTCATGTAGAGGCAGTCGAGATGGCGCCTACGGGCAGTGTTTGCGAGGAAAGAATACTCGAGCGTTACTGGCTAGGGCCCACAGATGAATGCCACAACTCGGCACTCAACTACAGTCAGACTATTATCATCAAAGATTCGGAGGCTCCAGCGCTACCAAAATCTTTGAGCGACCTCTCCTATACCTGCCCACAAGATTTCAAGCTCGAAGAGGTGGATAAGCCCAGCGCCACGGACGATTGCTCAATAGCCGTCAACGTGAATGGTACTGTACCGTCACCTGTGGAGGCATGCGCAGCAACCTCAATCCTATGGACAGCAACCGATGATTGCAATAAGACAGCTAGCATCAACCAGAAAGTGGTTTTCACGGATACAATCGCCCCCACTGTTGTCGGGGCCTCTCCAACCGATATAACTGTTGGATGTGGACAGTTCCCGAAAGAAGAGAAACTCGTCTTTTGGGATTACTGTGCAGGCGATCTTGAAGTTTTCTCCAAGGATTCCCTGCCCAGTGGAAATGTCTGCCAAGGACAAACGTTTGTTCGTACCTGGGAAGGGCCCAGTGACACTTGTGGGAACACTGCCAGTGCGGTCACCCAAAGCATCGTCGTGATGGATCTCGGGGCACCAAGTCTCCCCGAAAGCCTGCCGGATGTCATTCTTTTCTGCCCCATCGACTTCAACGAGCATGAGTTGGTAGCTCCAAATGCTACCGACGACTGCGATAAGTCCGTAGTGGTGGAACGGGAGGTCCCTGTTTTCCTTGATAAGTGTGCCGAACAATTCGACATTGTGTGGACCGCAGGTAAGTGTGAATAAAATTGAGTGTCACGCACTTTCATCTTGGCAGCGCGGAGCTCACATATCGCTGTTTCCCGTGCCCTCCAGTGGACGAGTGTTCCAAGACGGATGTGGTCACCCAGAAGGTTAGGTTCGAAGGAACCCAGAAGCCTTCCATCACATGTCCAACAGTGATCGGAGACTACACTGGTGGTGGCGGCACTTTCTCTCATGGAGTGGACTATGGAGATTGCTACACGGCCGACGATGTCACCATCACCTATGAGGCAAGCTGCTCAGACTGCAATGGAGATTCCTGCGCCATTGAGATGTCTTCGAACGGAGCCGATTTGACCATTTCAGGAGCCCCAGATATTTCAAGCCTGGTATGGACGGCTAAACTCGACTATGGCTGTGGCGTTGTCGATGTCACATGCACTGTTGGTGGTAAGGCACTCAAAGCTGGATCTTCACGTGCTCGCAAACAATGTCAAACGATTTGCTCACCTTGATTTGTTTCATTGAATTGTTCTTGTTCTCTTCAGATTGTCCTGCGTAATTGGAATTCGGCTGGGCGTGTGACCTGGCCCACCAACCCTCCAACGAATACGCGTTCTTGTTTGCTTAGCAGCTCCTGTTGCATGTAAATTGCGATAGTCAGATGCGCTCTATGGCGAGCTAGCTTGTACCTAGGATACTAATAAAGGATACTAGATGCATAATATTTTCGTTTCAAAGGTTGTAAAGAGATACTACAGAATGTACTTGATTGGCTGAACCACCCGTGGTCTTCTGCCTTCTCTGGGCTCGAGATGACCGGTGGGGGTGCCTTCACTGACATAGCTTTCCACAAAAAAGAGTGATCTGATCGTCCACAACCAGAAGAGTTGTCATCTTCCTTTCATGAAACCAATGCGGACAAGGTCAGATGCTTCAGTGGTTTGATGTCACAACCTGAAAACGCTGATGTTGGTTGCTCATCAGGGCAGAGTGGATGCTCAGGCAAATTAACTGCTTTAAACATTTTTAAAAGGCGTGTAAGGATTCGATTGAATCATTCGATTGAATCGAATCGAATCATTCGATTCGGGTGTGATCGAGTCCGAATGACACGATGCCCATCAGATTCTACCCAAAATAGCATGCAGTTGACGGCCCTCGTATTCTGATATTCTGATCCACCACATCTCACAGAATAGATGAACCTCCGGCAGCTAGCTAGCTAGTAGAACTATGGAGGCAAACGCCTCCTTGCTTGACATCATGAATCCATCTATGCGGCAAGCAAGAAACCAGCTGCAAATTCATCTTGATCTGGCTGGATACTACATGATGTACTGGACGAACAAACACTGGCGGTGCATTTTTAAAATCCGGCGATTGCAGTCGACAGTCAGGCCTCCCCCGCAAACTCTAGTCTACTGCCACAACTTGAAGCAAGGCACAGCTGAACACAGCCACCGCGACACACCCAACCAATACGGTACGGTACTAGTAGTACTAAGCAACTACTAGACTACTAGACTACTAGTATGTCCAACTGGGATTTAGCTGGTTACTGGTGTGCAAGCGGAACTGCCAGCACAGAAGGAAAAAAAGAAGATAGTCTACTCTGATATTGCGGGTTAATAGATGGCTGGCTGCCAGTGTAGATAAAGTACTGGCTGGCCGGTAGTAAGGCTCAAAGAAAGCTTCGAGAGGCAGAAAGCTTAGGCTGCATCGAACAGATACAGACGTACCAGCGCGGTACGGTAGGTTCGTATGTAGTTACAGGAAGTTGCTGTCAGATGGCTTTGGATTGTGGATGCAAGCAACGTGAAAGAAAGTGAGCGTCGACGTGTTGACTGTTGAGAGTGACTGTCGAAAGCCTTTGCGACGTGCTGTTGCTTTGGAGAGGGTCATGCATCCAAACGGAAGGTACCTTTCGTCAAGCATTACTATGCCACCCAGTATTTTTCGGTACCGGCACTGTGGGGAATGAAGTACTCGTATCAATGATTGGGCATTGATGGTTTAAGTGTTGGGTCTACTTCCAAAAGATTTGTTGTGGGTTTTGAGCAATACTGGGTCAATTTCCTGTTCGCTGCTGTTCTTGTTATCAAGACTTTAAATCTCCAGAGCTTTGCTTTGCAGAAAGACGGCTTTAGGTATTTACTACTCCGAGATCGGCAGCCGACAGTCTTTAACAGGTGGGTCCGTTAGTAGAGTTAGTTGGGACGGAGAACACGAATCTGTGCATTGCTTGAGCTGGCTGGTTAGTTTGCGGCCAAACGGCCAAACAGCCAAACGGAGCGTTTGGAGTTGTGCAAGTTAGGTGGAGGATCTCACTTTTCCCCTTCCCCCGCAATTACATACATGTATCCACCATCCACCATGTTGGCGGCGGTACCCTCAATGAACATCACCATGGAGCGCAACAGCAGCCACGATAAAAGTCTGCTGTTGGTTGACTACTCGAAGCAACGGGCACAGAATGACACCTTATTGGACGACGCTAGCACTATGGAAGACGCCAGTTGTCAAAGCATGACGTTGTCCAATGTGTTTGGTGGCGGCAAGACACGGCACAACAACAACAGCAAGCAGGCTCAGACTCCAAAAGACGAGGAGCAATCGCAACAGCAACTCCAAGAAGCCATTTCTAAAACAGAGGTGCTCCTGAACCTGCCGCTGGATAGAGCCGAGAAGGAACGGTACAGCTTTTGTGGAGGTAATAATAGACTCTACCATTCGGATCACAAGCCCAGACAAGCCAGTAGAAATCAGCGACCGTGCCTTTCCGCTGATCCAAGAGAAGCCTTTGGTGCTTCGTCATTGTCTTCTTCCGGTCACATCCGACGCTCGTTTCGCAACCGCGGCATTGCCAATGACAGTTGCAACAGCCTTGCATCTCTTGCGACGGACGCAGATGAAAGCGCGGTGAGTTTGTTTTCCGCGACCAGTGTCTCGGTTACCTCCTCGGCTCCCACTGTCGTCACGAGCAATGTGCGGTTCTCCTTGCGCCGTAGCAGTCACCGGCGACTCAGTATGGAAGATTCGGACGACGCCAGTGTCTCTAGCACGGTTCGCTTGCGCAAGTCTCTCTCCACTCGAACGCTGGATACGAGCACTGGCAAGCTGATGATGGACGATTCCATCATCAAGAACGATCCCAGCTTTCGCAGTCTCCTCCAAAAGAGCAAATCCGTGGCCAACATGGAAAGCTGCTCGGGCAGTAGTGGTCTTTCAAGTTTTCGTTCCACCAAGAGACGGTCCAAACGATCCACTCAGCTACCTCGAAAGAGCAATTCCATGGAAGGAGACAAGAAAACGGCAACCAAAAAGGCCATTGCCGCAATCATAATGGATGGAACAAACGACGAGCCGCAAGAATCATCCGGTCAACGAAATGTCCGCTGGGCTAGCAAACCAACCCCCAAAACCATCAACGTCACCGACGGCGGCATTCTCAATGCCTACCTCTCCAGGCACGTACCTTCCGGTCAAGAAATGATGGACGATAGCAGCATCACAACGACGACGAGATCCAGTCGCCGCAAGACCCCTTCCCGACATTTGTCCATGGACTCGTCCATGTCCGATTGTTCCTACCGAGCCTCGACGATCAGGTCCACCAAGAGTGAACCCCTCATGGATAACGATGATAATGATGATGACGACAACTCGTTGACCTCTGACATTTCCATGAGCAGTCGTCGCAGCATTCGACGCGGCGGCTCCATCCGGGGCCTTTCACAGTCGGAAATGTTCTTGTGCAGTGCGCAGCAAAAAAAGAAAAAGCCCTCCACGTCGTCGACCACCCTAAAGAACTCTCAGTGGACCAGCAGCAGCAATAAAAAAGGCAGTAGCTTGACGACATCCACAATGAGCAACACTCTACAAAGTAGTGGAGCGCCCAAACAGAGGCTGCCGGATCATTTGCAGATTCACCGAACGACTCATAGAGCAAGCTCCAAGAGGCTGTTGGGGGATGGGTCCTTGACAGATGATGATGAGTCGGAGGGATCCTCCATCCGATTCTTTGCCAGCCGGAGGTGAAGCATTCTATTCCGTGTGATGATCCTTGGCGGGTCCAGCTAGCTAGTGCAGTCAACTTTTGACAGCACATGGTAATAAAGCAACATGAACGTTTTCTAATAATCTTTTAATCAAATTCTAGGCTTATATAAAAAGACAGCCATTCCATCAATGCTATCAAAGCCAGTACAAAAATCTAGAGGGCGTCCACCCACACTTGTCGGCACAGTTTGCGGGGAGATTGCCCAACCCATCCCATTGAATCGAATCCATTCCTACGGGTTGGCTCCAGCAAACGGAAGTAATAGTACCTATCATCCTCGGTATGGGCTGGGTGCTGCAAGCTGATATTACATGTATGATGTGCTTGGGTTCATGATGAATTCAAGTCAGGCAGCCAACTAGAGACTACCCAAACGCTTGCAAGTGGACGAGGTTGACGACCTGCACTTCCTCGCGCCATTCCCAGTCCAGGTTGAACACTTTCGGAAAGCTCCTCAGGCAACAGGACTTGAGATTTGAATTTTCAATCCATTTGCTACAGGTACCTTTGGTACATGTACAGTACTCGAACTCGAACCACAAGACTGGTCACTACAAGCCTGGTGGATAGTACTAGTATGGTTGTTGGAGGTTGTATTACAGACACCTCAATACAAATTAGTCGTTTATCCCAATCTAGTTATAGGGGATATCTATATCTATTCTCTAGTTACATACATGGGGAGTTTAACTGATCTATATGGTCACCCCCTTCACTATATCCTTTGAAGTTGAATCAATCCCAGAAAACATGGAGAAAGATCACTTCTTGGAAATAGCTTAACAGTAAAACAGTATTTTACCTTTACTAAGCTAGAGTGTTACTAGCAACCAACACTATTTCCAAGAAGAAGGTTTGTACCTTCATCTCGAAGAGTTTCATCTCTCGAATTCGAGATCTCGTCGCCAATGGCGACATCGATATTGACATCCTATTACATGACATCAAGATAAGGTAAACAGTTCAGCAGAGTCAAGGTTCAGGCAAAAAGGGCTCTAGCCTCACTGAGAGAGCTATCCCAACAGCCTAACAGGAAAAAGGCAACACCACGAAACCGTGAAACGACGGAGCAATTGGTCCTACTGAAGACGACCGAATCATCGCAATCCAAGCATACCGCCTTGAAGATCATTACTAACTACACCACTCTATTGCTTGAACGAAGCGAATCCATCTAAAGGAACGACCAAAGCGAACGATTGAAGCTTCCAGGAGTGAGCTCCGGACAAGGAAGCAAGCTCACGGGAGTGAGCCAGAAGCGAACTCACAGGAGTGAGTGATCAACCGAAGGAAGCTAGCTCACAGGAGCCATCCGGAAGCAAGCTCACAGGAGTGAGCTGAAAGCAAAGCAAGCCCTCAGGAGTGAGCGAACGGCAAGACCTTGCGCTGCGCAACACAGCCAGCCATCGTATGACTGGAGATACACTATCCCAGTACTGATACGGAAAACAACTACTAAACGAAGAAGACTCACAGGAGTGGGAGCCAAGCTAGCTAGCTAGCTACCACGACGAGTCCAAGAAAACCAAGAAGGCTTCTGGTGAGACGAACCAGAGCCAAGGCTACTGTACTGTACCTAACCGTACGAAGCACAGCCTACAAGAGCGACACCAAGAGTGTCGACCGAAGAGTGCAACACCAGAGGTGTTACCACTGCAGACGAACGAGATAACAAATTCCAACAGGAATTACCACAGAGGTACTTCCGTGGGAGTTCCTCCAGCCTCACTATCAAGCCATCGAAACAGTGCCGATAAAGAAGAGGTGCAAACCTTTTTGCGGCACGAAACAAGCCAAATTACCAGGCCGATTACTCGACAACGACAGGTCCTACGGAAGGACTGTCATACACAGAAGTGGGCTACTATACTGTCACTGACAGGCCCTGAAGAGTGCAAGTCCTCGAATGCAACAGGTATCAAGTTGCATCCATTGGCACAGTCAAGCAAAATTGAAAGGAAAACCAAACGACAGCCGAAGCCATCGGACAAACAACGACCGAAGCTGCTGCCGCTCAGGCGACAGCTACTGGCGCCACTACGGTGACAACAAGAACAAGACAACCGAAGCGATCTAACGATCGTTACTACTGTCAACTGTTCGAGAAGAAGAACAAGAGCATCGGCAGACCGTGGAATTTTGAATTCCACCAGCAACAAGAGTAGTCAGTCAATGAACGAGCGACTGCTTGAACAAAGCGATTGCACGACTACTGCAACAAGAGCGACGCCAGCTTCTACTGCTACCCAGGCGCTACGGCGACAACACGAAGAACAACACCTGCTACTACTAGCCAGTCGCTACCGCTACCACAACAACGACGACAGTACTGCCATTGTGTTGATCGTCGGCAACAAGAAGAGTGTCGGCAGTACCGCTGTCGGCAGAAGAAGACTTTGTTTTTATGAGGAAATCGCTGACAGCAACCATCAGTTCCACGGAACGGCGAAGAACAAGCCAAGCTGTTCAACGAATCTTCAATCAGACACAAAAAGGTATCTTTCGAGTATCTTTCCAGGAGTGTACGGAGTCAGATCAAGATCTCTCCGTACGGCACATCGGCAGTGTACACCAAGAGGATTCTACGGTGAATCCAAAGCACACCAAGCATGCTGTTACCAGTACCGACGAGCTACTGCATGGTACAGTATGCCATGCAAAATAGCTAGCTAGCTAGCCAACCAGCGCACGAGCTACTGAAGCAGTGCAGAGCTACAGGAACCACAGGAGTGCTTCCACCAGCATTGAATATTTTCTTTGGAGTGTGTATTGAGTCTACACTCAGCACCTCCTACTCCCCTTTCATGGAGTGTGTATTGTGGCATCCCAGCCACAGCACCTCCTACTACCTTCTTTGGAATGTGTATTGTGAAACTAATCCACAGCACTTCCTCCACTGATTACAGGCAAACCTGAGGCAACAACAGCCTCTAGGTAGGCAACAACAGATACCATTACAAGACCATGCCCTTGCTATTTGATCACAGCAAGTGCACAGGAGTGTGAGGGTACCCAAATCCAAAACCTACAATCCTACAAACAAAATCATCATAACATCCGCCTTTATAGGCAATGCCGCAACCATCAACGGCACTAATGGCCACAACAACACGGCCAACAACCATCAATGGCTACATCAACAGCCAGCATCGATGGCAACAACAGCCAACAACGGTATCTACCGCTACCAAACCGATTACAATGAATCGACCAAACCAAATTCGAATTGCATCTACAATAACGGCAACTGCAACAACAGCAGAACGACAGTGAACGTTGAACCGAGTAGCTAGCTACAAGCCACTCAAGAGTTCACAAGACAAGGAACCAAGCCACAGGATGGCTGGAGCATTCAGAGTTTGACCCACAAGCGGGAACCTGATCAATAGAAACAACAAGAGGGTGCACACCTCAGCTCCACTGCAACTACTGTACAGAGATTGCAACCAACCTAGTCTCACACCAACAACAGAAGTACGTGAGTACATCAAATCAAGCCAACTATAGATACAACTACGGACAACTACAGTCCTGCCACAGCCAACTCACAGGATGTAAGAGCAGTGACAGAACCACACTTGTCCTGCCACAGCCTCTCACAGGAGTGTAAGAGCAGTGGCATCACCAACCAAGGATCTACCGACACATCACCATCGAACCATCATCGACCGTGACACGTCCAGGTCCAGTGGAGCCCATCCAGTTGGAGCATCCACAACTACTACCGAATACTTCCTTACAAGTATCCAAACTTCCAAGGCTTCCAGCCCCAACTCAAAGAACCATTGTGGCAAGGAACTTCCTCCTAGTTCCAGCTACTACAACAGTTCTCCCAAGTGTTGCTATAGCCTGACCTCCCAGTCTCAGCTACGGCAACACCAATGACGGTACCAAGTGTACAAGTGACGGCACCAGTCACCACAAGTGAGACACCGCAGTCACGAGTCTCACATGAGTATAAACACCATGACAAGAGGAAACAATAACTCAACCATTTCCTCATTCCATCTTCAGACATCGAGACCATCCAAGAACTAGGTTCAGTCGAACCCAACAAGTCCGTGACTTCCAAGCTACATCATTTCCAGCTTCCATGCACCTTCCAATAGGGCATCACTTCCCACAAGTCTACGACTTCCAGAAGCTTCACCAGCTTCCATCTACGAAGGGCTTCCAGCCCATCAAGTGTCAATGTAGCCAGACTTCCCAGTCTGAGCCGCAGGTACACCAAGTGACGGTATCATCCGACACCAGTCTTCCAGGAGTGGCATCACTCTCAGTAGGAGTGCCAGCACAAAGACTTTTCCGATGATGACAATGTCCGTATTGTCTCGTCCCCACCGCTCAGCTTCTCGTTACCAAGCGGGATGCCAAGCAACTACTTCCACGGTTTGTTTTGGACTCATTGCAAGCTAGTCGACACAACGACGTGAGACTTGGATTACAAAGCCTTTCCAAGGCAGGAGCCTGCTTACCCAAGCACAGATAGACACTTTGAGTGCTATCGATTCTTAGGAATCCTAGAGGATCCACCTCTAGCTCCATAGCAACCCCAAGGTGCATCCAATGTCCAAACCAACCAAGCCAGCTTTGGCTACAACAAGTACAAGTCCTGCCACAGCTAGCTCACAGAAGTGTGCCAACAGTGACAGCAGGAGTGGTATTGATAAAGTTGTACCCACCAAAAACCAAAGTCTCAAACCTTTTTCAACTTCCTTTGAATCTCCGATCGATCTATCCAAGTGACACACCAGATCGACTGACAAGAACGACATGCCAGATCGAATGACACGAAGCGATCGAATCACAAGCAGCGACAACGAGATCGATTCAGTTTGACTCTCGGATCGACTCAGAAGATCCATCATGAGATTGCAAGTGCGACCAAGCAAAGCCTATCGAGCAAAGCCTATCAAGGCAGAGCAAGCTTACTCAAGCAAGGGTAGACACATCAGTGCTACCGGGATATCTTCTGCAG